AGACGGTGACAGAGATTCGCAGCTTTTAGGTTTAACTGGATATTATAGGAAGTTCATTCAGGACTTCTCGAAGATTGCAACGCCTATTACACACCTTACAAAGAAGGGTGTACAGTTCATATGGAGCATGGAGTGCCAGAAGGCCTTTGATATTTTGAAGACTAAGTTGACTACAGCGTCGGTTTTGACTATTCCGAGCAGCGACAGGACATTCATCGTATATACAGATGCATCGTTGGTAGGCTTGGGAGGCGTATTGATGCAGACTCAGAGGGTAGTAGCTTATATCTCACGGCAGTTGAGGGTGCATGAGCAGAACTATCCCACTCATGACTTGGAGTTAGCAGCAGTGGTGTTTGCACTGAAGTCATGGATATTCACAGACCATCAAAGTCTGAAGTACCTCTTTTCCCAGAAGGAACTCAACCAGAGACAGAGGAGATGGATTGAGTTTATTAAGGACTACGAGTTCGTGATCCAGTATCATCCGGGGAAGACGAATGTCATGGCAGATGCTTTAAGTAGGAAGCGTAGACATTAGGATTCAGCTTTGAGGTGTTCATTACATCGGGATCTTGTCACTCTTAGCCAGTTTGATTTTAGACCCGTGATCGGAGGAACCAATGCATTTTTGGGAGCTTTGTCAGTGCAGCCATCTTGGAGTGACAGAGTTGTCAGAGCCCAGTTGGGAGACTCTTGGATTCAAATCCGAAAGGAGGAGATTTCCAAGGAGCCTAAGACTGATCGGATCATTGGAGCAGATGGAGGTCTCCGAATGAAGGGCAGACTAGTCATGCCAGCCAGTGCCGAGCTAAAGAGAGAGTTACTTGATGAAGCTCATCGTACTCGGTACACTGTACATCCAGGGACTACTAAGATGTACAAGGACCTAAAGAGAATGCGTAGAGAGATTGCAGACTATGTGGCTAGATGTTTTACCTGTCAGCAGGTGAAGGCAGAGCATCAGAGACCGGCAGGAACACTTCAGCCTTTACCCATTCCGGAGTGGAAGTGGGCGGACATTTCTATGGACTTCATTGTAGGATTGCCGAAGTCGAAGAAGGGGAATGATCCAGTTTGGGTGATTGTGGACCGGTTGACGAAGTCGGCACATTTTATTCCAGTGAGGACTACTTATACCGCTGAGGCATATGCGAGGATATTTATCAAGGAGATAGTTCGACTTCATGGAGTTCCAGACACGATTGTATCGGATCGAGGTTCGGTGTTCACTTCGCACTTTTGGAGGAGTTTTCAGGACTCTTTTGGCAGCAGTCTATCATTCAACAGTGTTTTCCACCCTCAGACGGATGGTCAGATAGAGAGAGTAAATCAGGTGTTGGAAGACATGTTGCGAGCTTGTGTCATTGATTTTCAGGACAGTTGGGAGGATCATATTCCACTGGTAGAGTTCGCTTATAACAATAGTTATCAAGCGACGGTCGGTATGGCCCCGTATGAAGCATTGTACGGGAGACCTTATAGGTCACCGATATGTTGGGCCGAGCCGGAGGACAGCTTGATGCTTGGGCCGGAGTTTGTGAGGCAGACTACTGAGAAGATAGCCTTGATCAGAGAGAGGATTCTAGCAGCTCAGAGTCGGCAAAAGAGCTATGCCGATAAGAGACGAAGACCCTTGGAGTTTCAGGTTAGAGACTCAGTTATGCTGAAGGTGTCACCTATGAAAGGCGTACAGCGATTCGGACGATGGAGGAAGCTTGCGTCGAGATACATTGGACCATTTCAGATTCTGGAGCGTGTTGGAGTTGTGTCATACTGACTAGATCTTCCAGCATCGATGTCTAGTATACACAATGTGTTTCATGTTTCTATGCTCAAGAAACACTTACATGATGAGGAGCAACAGCGAGTATTGGATGCGCCAGAGATTGAGCTTCAAGAGGATTTGACTACTGTCGAAATTCCGGTTCGTATTCTTGCCAGAGAGGACAAGAGACTTAGAAACAAGGTAATTCCCTTGGTGAAAGTTCAGTGGAACCGAGGAGGCATTGAGGAGATTTCTTGGGAGCACGAAGAGGATTTGCGTCGCGACTACCCACACCTGTTCGAACAGGTAAATTAAAATTTTTATGATGTGTATCTTGTATGATGTTTATATCTTTAGTTATATTTACATTTAACACTAGAATGGGAATATTCGTGCTTAATTCTTAATCTTTCGGAACACATGGTATATATATGGGGGGTTCCTTGTTTGGATTTTTCACCCGATGTACTAGTTCCACTAGATTAGGGTTCGAGCGGGAGTATTACCATTTTAGATCGTTAGATATAAATAATTCTATATGTTCATCTAGAAGTTCATATTGCGAGATGCGTATGATTTCCGAATTTCGAGGATGAAATTCTTTTAAGGGGGAAAGAATGTAAAACCCCGAAATTTCTATAATGAAATTGTGTGAATTAAAAAGTAATAAATATTTCTTTTGTGATGAATAATCATATATATATAAGATGTATGTGTTTATCAGTGTTTGGGAACCCAGCTGGTGGTTATGCGTGAGAGAAATCAAATGGATTGTCCAGCAACAACAGGAAAACTCTTTTCCTGTTGTGCGGTCGACCGCGGCGGTCGACCGCGCAACGGACAGAGAGTCTCCTGGGTTTGGGTTTTAACGAGTTGTTTGGGTCTTAACGGGTTTCGGGTTGGGTTGTGGGAGTGATATATATTCTAATCAACCCAAAAGAGCCTTCTTCCAGCTGAGATCAAAAACCCTAGCCCCCTTCTCTTTCTTCTCTAAACCCTAGCTGGATCTGGCGATTTTGGGAAGTTCGAAGGATTTTCAGTGGGATTTCGCAGGTCAGATCGAAGGAGGATCATCTTCAGGGCATTTGTCATTTCGCAGGTCAGATCGAAGGAGGATCATCTTCAGGGCATTTGTCAGCACCTGAGGCGAGTATCATCTTGCCCAATCCCTCACCTATATTTTCTACGAATTTTCTTTTGATGTTTCATGAGTTTTGATAGCCCAAAAGGTATTTTCGTATAAAATTGAGTTCTGTATAATATGGATTGCAAGAATCAAAGGTTTCAGTTTATAAAAGTTCACAAATTTTCTGTTTAGTGAAGATCTAGATCTGAAATTGCTTAAACAAGAGTTAAATCATGATTTACTGTTATTAAAACGTTTTTAACATGTTTCTCATGTATTTAGAATATTAGGGATGTAGTTTACATGCTTAAAATTCATTGTTCTTCTACTGTATGATTTTTGAGAAGTTAGAATTTTTGTTATCGTAGAGATCAAGAAATTTTATTTTAGGTTTTGAGCTAATAGAAACCCAGATTTGGGCTTCTGTCAGCTCTGCGGTCGACCGCAGTCTGTTGTTAAATCCCTGTTCTGTGTATTTTACTCATGTTCGAGAGTTTGCCTGGATTTTCTGACTATGGTTTTTAGTCTTACTATGTATCCATGCACGATAGATGACCTGAGGGTACAAATTGGGGATTTACATACTGATTTGAGTGTGGGTTGATATAAGTAGATTTCACTATACATCTCAGTGACATTTTCATAATCGCACAGTCCTCGTGTTGGACTATAATCCATAGAAGTCCTCGTGTTGGACTATAATCCATTGAAGTCCTCGTCTTGGACTATAATCCATATCAGTCCTCGTGTTGGACATTTGCCACTTATTTCATGAGTTTGGAAACTACAATATATAGTTCCTGTATCGGACATAGTTCTTAACCCTGCATATGATTTTTCTCACAAAAGTTCATGACATGACACTTATGTAAATTTGGACATGACATTCATGTAAGCTATAACATGATATTCATGTAGGCTATGATACGGCACTGCACTTATGTTCTGAGATTAGTTGTATTCCTTTTATTATTGTTCCTGTACTAGAACCTCAGGTTTGGTGGTTAGGGGTTTACAATTTGAGATATAAGGTATATACATGAGGATTTCCTTGTTTGGATTATTTCGCTCGACGTACCTATTCTCGTGTTGTAAATTTCTAAATACTAAAACCCTCTTTAGTAAGATCAATAATTTTAGATCTATTATGTATTATCTGTATTTTTTTTATACAACGAGCCCTGTTCCCTTGGGGTTGGTTGTGATGTTACTCGCTAGCGCTTTGACGCTCGTTGTCCCTCCCCCTTTTAGGTAATGAGCCAGGAGCCCGGAGAGTCGCAGGTTGATGGCGATGCATATTAGCTTCAGCCGTCTATTTAGTTATATATTTTCTTTTGGAGTTCCACAGTAGACTTTTGTTTAGACATTTGAGAGTCTTGTTCTAGAAGTTGTAAAGGCTGTGTGCTTTATTTCCTTTTCGTCAGATATTTATATTTGAGACTTGTTGAGTATTCCAGTTTATCTACTCAGACCTTGACTATGTATCTCTGTATGTTGGATGATGAGATATTTATGTGATTATTATCATTTCATCATTATTTCTTGTATTGTCTTTTACTTGCTTTTGTACCTACACCTGTCGTTGACTCTACTAGATAGATGTTAATTGTGATAGTGAAACATGTTATTGCACGGTGTGGTGTATGGCAGGTTTGACATTCTTGATTTCACCTTGGACTGCAGCCTTGTGTGAACCCATGGGCCTCACACAGGAATATTTGATGTTGAGGATTTAGGGGTGCTTCTTCAAATATCAAGATTTATGGGGTAATTTTGCAGATATAAATAGTAGGAGGAGTAAATATGCAAAAACCCTTTATAGAAATTAAAACCAAGTCTTTACGGGTCAAATAAAATATTCCCGTATCCGACCCGCTCCACCTGTAACCAGTAACCGGCCACAGACAAAGGAGGAGGAGCGACGCTCTCTTCTCTCTCCCTCTCTCTCTCTACGCGTTGTTCCGACGCTTCCAATTTGAAATCGGATCTAAATCATGGAAACCTCCGCCGCCGTCGACCAACCCGATAAGATCAAAAGCAAACCCGAGTCCGTCATCGAGCAGCATTCCGCCGACTACGCGCCCTACCCCAAGATCGATCCCGGGGCGAATGCGAGATCCTCCATCTCTGGCGACCACGAGGCCACCTCCATGCCGCCGGAGTCCAATCCCTATATCACTCCCTCTCCCGCTGCTCCGTCCTCGTCAAAAAGTATGTTCTTGATTTGGATCTCTTTATCTAGGAGATCTCCGTTTCTTTGATTTTTGTTCTATTTTTTTTTGAGAACTTTAGTAGTATATTTGTCAAATTTTATAGATATAATTTAGGGTTTTAAGTTTAAACTTAATTATTAAAGAGTTGATGTTAGATACAATGGAGACAGTAAAAGATGTGCTTGGGAGATGGGGGAAGAAGATGGGGGAAGCCAAGAAGAAGACTGAGGATCTTGCTGGTAATGTCTGGCAGCACTGTAAGTACTTCATTCTCTCATTTTTGATTTGAATTCCTGTATTTATCTATTTATTTTGAGTAATAATTTACTACTTTTAAAGCATCATTCAAGATGGGATAGTGATAACAAATTCCTGAGGAAGGATCCCATATGGGTCTTTTTTTTTTCTCCTTGTAGTAATTCTTTTCCCCCCATCAAATGTACTTAATTTTCTAACTCTCCATTTCCTTTCATTATGCCATAATTTGCTTATTTTTTGGTCAATGAAATGTGCTTATGCATGCTAGCCAGCCCTCTGGTGAACTACAGAGTTTGATGTGATTAATTTGCTTTGTACTGCTAGTGTATTCAGGGGATCTTTCTTTTTTCTTTTTTGATGTAACTTGGTTAAGTAGATTTTCTTGATTAATTAGTGTGTTCGCATGTCTTATTGTCTGTCAGACCTTAATTTTTTCCCTCACATTTTCTCCTCTTTCCCGTCAAAAAATCCCTCTCTTCCTTGCATTATGCCATAATATTCTTATTTTCCCTCGGCAGCTTGTGTTGTAAAGAATAGATAAAAATGAGATCTTCTTTCATCCCTAGACTAGCCGACTAGGGATTTAGCATCCCAGAATTAAATTCCTTGTAACATGTTTCCATAGCAGGAATATACTACACACACATACACACATTCTCATAAATTTTTTCCCAACAACTATATTGTAAAGATTGTACCATTTACCATAATAGATTTCTCCTCTTTTTTTTTTATGATATTGGCTTTCTCATTCTACTAAAAAACGCTATGTTTTCTTTATTCAGTAAAAACAGGACCTAGCATTGCTGATGCTGCAATGGGAAGAATTGCACAGGGAACCAAAGTCTTAGCTGAAGGGGGTTATGAGAAAATATTTAGAACTACCTTTGACACCTTTCCGGAAGAACAGCTTAAAAAGTCATTCGCTTGCTATTTGTCTACATCAGCTGGTCCTGTGATGGGTGTTTTATATCTCTCTACTGCAAAGCTTGCATTTTGCAGTGATAATCCTCTTTCTTACAAAGTTCTTGATCAAACAGAATGGAGCTACTATAAGGTACTTAGTCATGCATTTTATTTTGTGTTCTCTTATATTTATGCAGTCCACTAAATTTATATGGTCTGTTCATAAAATCCATTTATCTTGAACTGCATTTAATTGAATTAATAGGTTGTTATGACTATCATTATCTGTTTGAGTTGAGTTTTTTATGCCATTGAATCTATTTATTTCTAAAATTTCCATTTTATGGAAAGTTTCTTCCTAATTCACCTCATGTGCTGCATAACCTTACATATTTTCTATATTCTTGTTGAATTCATCTTCCTTTGGCACTCTTTCGCGACGTTGATCTTTTTTGGCAAGATTTTGTTCTATCCTTAGATTTCATTACTTTGCATGGAAAAGTATTCCATGTTGTGGCCACCGGTGGATGCTGGTGGTGCTCTAGGGGGCAGTTGCACCCCTAAAAATATGAGAACCATAATAATAACTCTTGTAAAAATTACAATTTGCCTCCCTAACTTTAAAACAGTTTGCACCCCAACCCTTTATAACTACCAAATAATTCAATAGCCCATGTACATCTAACCCTTTTGAAATTAATAAGCGCATATAACTTTCAAACAATTAAATCTCATGGGCCCAAACAACAAAAGCCCAAATACTAAAAACTCAAAAATCCAAAATACAAACCCCAAAAATCCGAAACAACACTACAAAACCAAAACCCATTATCATCAACAACAACAACAACAATAACAACTAACAAACCTTTATCCCAAATATTTAGGGTCGGCTACATGAATCCTATTTTTTCATTTCATTCTGTTACGGATCATTTCCTCCTCTATGTTAGTCTTAATTATATCCATTTTAATTGTTTCTAACCAAATCATTCTAGGTCGACCTCTAGATCTCCTAGCCCTATTAACTCTAATATTAACACTTTTCCTAATCGGTGCACTAAGAGGTCTCCGTTGTGCATGACCCAAATCATCTTAATATATTCTCTTTCATTTTATCCTCAATAGGTGCAACCTCTAATTTACTACGGATGCTTTTATTTCTTATTTTATCTTTTAATGTATACTCACAAGACCATCGCAACATTCTCATTTCTGCCACACTCATTTTTTGAACATGTTATTTTTTAACTTCCCAATATTTTGATCCATAAAGCATAGTTGGTCTTATAACCGTCTTATAGAATTTTTCCTTTAGTTTCATTGGTATGCTACGATTATATAAGACTCCCGAAGCATTCCTCCATTTCAATCATCCCGATTTAATTTGATGCACAACATCAGCCTCTATCTCACCATCATGCCTAATGATAGATCCTAAATAGCGAAAATAATTAGTTTTAGATATTCTTTGGCAATCAATATGTATCATAGACTCTCTTTCTTTCTTAGTTTTACTAAAAATGTATTCCATATATTCTGTTTTTGTTCTACTAATTCTAAAACCTTTAGACTCAAGAGTTTGTCTCCATCTTTCTACTTTAGAAATAATACTTATTCTAGTTTCATCAACTAATACTTTATCATCAGCAAATAACATACACCATGGGATTTCATCCTGAATGTGTTTAGTAAGTTGGCCCATAACTAATGCAAAAAGATATGTACTTAAAGCTGATCTTTAGTGTAAACCTATAATAATAGAAAATGATTTAGTCTCTCATTCGTTAGTTTTTGCTCTAGTTGTTATTCTATCATACATATCTTTAATCACATTAATATATATATATTAGATACATGTTTCTTTTCTAACACCTATCATATTACCTCTCTAGGTACTCTATCATAAGCTTTTTCTAGATCGATAAAAATCATATGTAGATCATTTCTCTTCTCTCGATATTTCTCCATCAACCGTCTCAAAATATGTATATGTTTCATAGTTGACCTCCCAGGCATAAAATTAAATTGATTTTTAGATATACATATCTCTTTTCTTAGTCTTTGCTCAATTACCTTCTCCTAAAGTTTCATAATATGACTCATGAGTACTATATCTCGATAATTTTAAACAACTTTTTATCCCATTTATTCTTATATATCGGTATTAAAGTGCTAATCCTCAACTCATCTGGCATTCTTTTCGTCTCGATAATCTTATTAAATAGTTTAGTTAACCATCCTAAGCCTATATCTCCAAGACATTTTGAAACTTCAGTAAGGATATCGTCCGGTCCTACGGCTCGTTCACTTTTTATTTTCTTTAGAGCATCTTTAACCTCGCTAATCCTAATTTTTCGACAATATCTATAGTTCCTATCATTCACTATATGTTAAAATTTCTATTTTGCTTACTTGTTTGGTTATCATTAAACAATTGATAAAAGTAACCCCTCCATCTTTCTTTTATTTCCCCGTCGGTCACTAGAACTTTTTGATCATCACTTTTAATACACCTAATATTACCCAAATTTCTACTCTTTCTTTCTCTAATCTTAGCAAGCTTATATATATATATTTATTTCCTTCCTTAGATTCTAGCTTATAAAAATTTTCATAAGCTTTGTATTTATTCTCACTAATCGCTCTTTTTTGCTTCATTCCTTACTAGTTTATGTTTTTCTAAATTTTCCTACTACACTTTTGCCACTCTTTATATAAAGTTTTCTTCTCTCTAGTAACATTTTGCACATTCTCATTCCACCTCTAACTCTCTTTACCGTCTAATCTACAACCTTTAGATTCTCCTAGTATATCTTTAGTTACTTTTCTAATACAAGAAGACATGCTATTCCACATAATAATAGTCTCATTATCTATATTTTTTCATATATTTTCTTTTATTATTTTATCTTTAAAATGTATTAAATTCTCTTCTTTTAAGTTCCACCATTTAGTTCTTAGCTTTTTGTTCACGTTAGTTTTTCTACTTCACTTTTTAATAGATATGTCTAAGACCATCAATCTATGTTGTGTACTCTTGGTATAACTTTATAATCCTTGCATATTAACCTATCCACCATTCTAGTAAGAAAAAGTCTGTTTGACTATTATTAAAACTACTTTTAAAGGTTATTAAGTGTTCATCTCTTTTTCTAAAAATTGTATTTACTATTATCAAATCATACGATATTGCAAACTCTAGAATTTATTTACCTATATCGTTCTTTCCATACTTGAAACCTCCATGTATCCTCTCATATCCGTTATTATCCTTACCAGCATGCCCATTAAGATTCCCTTCTATAAGTAATTTCTCTTTAAATGGGATTCCTTGTACTAATTTATCTAATCTATCCTAAAATTCCCTTTTAGTACTCTCTGGCAAGCCTATTTGTGGTGCGTAAGTACTAATAATATTAATAACCTCTACACCTAAGATAACTTTTATTAGTATTATTCTATCTCCGACTCTTCTTACATCTACAACATTTTTTATTATATTATCTACAAAAACTCCCACTCCATTCCTATTCTTCTCTTTTCCCGTGTACCAAAGTTTATATCTGATCTTTTTAATTTTTCTAGATATTTAACCTATCCATTTAGTTTCTTGTAAACAAATTATATTTATCTTTCTTCTACTCATGACATCCACTAATTCTATTGTCTTTCTGGTAAGTGTACCTATATTTCAAGTAACTTCTAATTCTATTTTCTTGTAAAAGT